GTAATATACCGAAACGTGCGGATTGTTCCCGATTGGTGTGCTATTACTTTGTGGAACGTTTCGCCGAATGGTTCACGAAATATCAGTGTTTTTGTGTGGTGAAATTGGTCCCATAGGAATGAACGGCGGAATGTTCAAAACTGGAGTGGGAGCTGACAAAAGCTAGAGTGTGAGCTGAAAAATCAGGACATGATTTCTAAACTGCCATCACGCCCTCATTTTCAAGCCCACCTACACAAATCTTATATCAAAACGTTCAGCTATCCCTGCTGCCACTAAAAATGTCCACGGCTAAGCCATAGTCCTGATAGTTTTCACAATATGACCATTTGCTTGCAACTCACGCCGCCCATTGACATTCATTGAAACTCCACTCTAGACACCTGAAATTTGAAGGGCAATATCTAAACTATGACTGTGCCTTCATTTTTAATATTTCAGAGACAAACTATGCATCAAAATGTAGGTCTGGGTCTTGTGATTCTCACAATATAAATCTCTTTGGTGTAGGATTTATAGTTTTAAAACTACAACCGTTTGAAGATGGCAACTGCCAGTGAAGTGAGCAAGTTGTAGCAGTTTGTTTTTAACCGCTCCTCTGCCCTTGCTGTAGGTGTGAGCAGCAGGCAGCAGAGTGACAAAAGCTACTCCGCCCGCTCCAGTTGTAGACTACTGGTACAGACAAGAACACTTCACACAATTTCCCCAGAAATTGTAGATTTTCTAGTTATTCTTTCTCTTTTTTTTTTTTTTTGCATTATTTAGTCTTAAACACTATATTATATGACATCATTGTAAGCTACAGCAGTAACAGGCCACTGTCTCTTCTTCCAGTGATGGACGGATAGTATCAGTAAAAAGAATATATAAGAAGAATTTTACCATTACTAAAACAATCAGGAAAGAAGTACAGCATGTCCGGTGAGTTTACATATACGTCAAGACAAAAAAAACCTCAAAAAAACTATGCAGTACATCTCTGCAATACATACACACCTCCCCATGTATTATCTCTTGCAAGCATAGAGGAAGCTGTCAGAAATGCACTCAGATCCTAAGTCCTGTTGTGGGCTGACAATACACAGCATATTTGTGATATAAATGGTGCCGGCCCTCTGGGTGGAAGAAAAAAAATGCTTGATTCCCCCATCAACACAGTCAGTCCATATCCATAAATGCGTATTTATTGCGCATCTGGTGAGTGCATAATTCTATTACTTACCTGGCACATCACCTAACCATTGAATATAGCGTGTGGATCACCAATTCTGAGATCATATATTTTCGGACCTCCAGCTTGTCACTTCATGGACATTTTATTTTCGCATTATTGTTTATTACATTTGTCACTTTATTAGCACCAGCAGTCACTTTACAGTGACACTATACAGCGTGATCACGTTCACTTTGTCACTTTATGGACATATCAGTGCAATTACTATTGGTCAGTTTTACACTAACAGTCACCTTGTTTATCATTGTCAATCATCTGAGACCAGGGGCGGACTGATCATTTGGAAACTCGGGCACTGCCCAAGGGCCCGGGGTCAGTAGGGGGCCCCATGAGATGCCCTGGTACCTTTTCCATAGGCTTTTTTGAGTTTGGGCAAGGACACAGGGGCCCCATGATCCCTTGTTGCCCGGGGGCCCCATGAGTTGTCAGTCCGCCCCTGTCTGAGACAGTGATATATTCACATATCAATTTATACCTTTATGTTTTTGGTTTTATATCCTCATGTTTGTATTAGCACTTTGATTTACTTGCACTTTATCAATTTTCATGATATTCAGGTTTTAGCTCTGCCCCTATTTTATACTAGTGTTTTGGAAGGTTTATTTGGTACCTTTTCGGTGTTACAGCAGCTGGGTATTTTTAGTGCTCACTTTCTTGTTTGTGTTTTTAAGTGTTGATGGAAGAATGCCTTCCACAGATCTATTGCGTTCTGTCAGCACAGGGGGCCTTCCTGGCTGGCAGAACACAATGATCACCGCTACCAGTTATAGCCACCAGCAGTAATCACATGTAGAAAAATCTGACAGGCTGGTTGTGCCCAAGTCAATCGATGGATTGAATTGGATACAATCAGCCTGCCTTTTCATGGATTGAATCTCGACTGGTCCCTGCTAAACTGGGCGAATTGCAATTTATGTATGGCCGGCTTAGTTCTGCAATCCAAGATTAGAGGAAGGCTCTTTAAGATATCATACATACCTGTAACGGCAAATGCTGGGTGCAATAACTAAAAAGCAAGTCATATACACACACACAATCAACATGTAGTCATGCAGGTACTTTTAATCAGCATTTACACCATTACATATTCTACGTATGTGAAAGACCCTCTACCCAATGTATACCTGCCCTGGTACATCATAGCATTCACTCAGCACTCAAGAAATAACAGAATCCAACTGCAATATTCTTGCACTGTCAAAACCTTCACTTTTATTATCACATGACACACAGGAGGATATATCTTATAGTCATCACAATCTGCATAATAACGCACACCAATAATAATGTGAGCATTACAGCATGAAAGAGACACATCATTTGACAGCATCAAAAGCATAGAATTAATAGATTACCAAAGCTATGTGGAAGTGGGAAGGAACAAATCCCATCTGAACTATATACTGTCCAGGGAGTCACAGGGAAGCCATAAGCACGACCAATTGATGAGCCCATATAGTCTTGCAAGAGTCCCAGCGTTAGAGTGTCTCTGGCCACTAGGGGGCTTCCTAGCGGTCTCGCTTGGACTCCTGGCTTTTAAACCATTTTTCTGGCAACTTTCCAATAGTGGACGGGCGCCACATCCGCCACAAGAGGAGCTAGCAGAAAGGTTCCGCGAGGATAACAGAGTCACGATCAGTCACCATATTGATTCCACATCGTTATCTGAAAAGTCACACTTTTGCTTCAGTTCAGCTTCTTATCTACCCTAAACTTCTTCTCATCTACCCTAAATGTAAAGATTTCTAACTTCTCAAGCAAGTAGACGTCTTTAAACAGGTTCTTATCTTCTAATGTGACATTACTAGATGTCATAAACACGTTCAATTCCATAAACAAGTTTTTATCTTACTCCAAGCAGAATATCTTGTGACTCTGTTCCTTTGGCTTAGAGAAAATGACATCGACCACTTCTCATGCTCCGGGCATTTGGGCAACAATTCTTTATTGTACAAAATTACCCAAGAAACAAATGGTCCAAGGCCAACACATTTCATAGGCATTACAATACCCTTGATTATTGTGTGACAGGTTAGTTGCCCCGTTGACATAAACTGGCTTATTCAGTAAGGCAAATAGAGATCTCCGAAGTTCCGCACACACTAATACAATTAATCAAAAATCCTTTTTTACTGGTCTGTCTACAATAATAATCTGAAATTTGATAGGATGCTATGACATGACATGCACATCTTTGATCCTCTCTAAATTATTTAATGCGCACAATTTTTTAATGCGCAACTTGCAGCAAAGGAGCAGAATCACAGGGGTTGGTTTACTAAAATTGGTGAGGGATACCAAACAGAAACCAATCAGCTTCCAGGTTTGTATGCCAAAGCACTTCCAGTCCAGACACTTTCACCCCCCTTCCTATCTAGGCCAATTTTCAGCTTCAGCACTATCACATTTTGAATGACAATTGCACGGTCATGTACCCATATGAATTTTTTAGCATTTTTTTGAGATAGACAAAGCTTTATTTTGGTGGTATTTATTCACCACTGGGATTTTTATTTTTTTTTTCTATGTAAATGAAAAAGTCCAAAAATGTAGAAAAAAAAGTGTTTTTCTTATCACATTTTGCAAATAGATAATATTTCATCATAAATCTTTGCCAAAATATATTCCGTTATCTTTTTTAGTAAAAAAAAAAATAACCCAAATTAGTTTATAACCAAAAATTATAATTTTTTAAACTTTTTTTTACATTTGTATTTTATTTTTTTTATTATTATTATGTTGTTTTTTTTTTTTTTACATACTGTCACTCTAGCAGTACAGTGTCACCATGGTGACACTGTACTACTTGCGGGAGGTAATGAAGATTTTTTTTTTTTTTACACTGATTGCTTTTACACCCATAAAGGCTGTAAAAGCAATCATTTCTCCTTCTCTCTGGCTGCATTCTTGCAGTCATTGAGAACTACTGTGTGAGCTGTGATTGGTCACAGCTTGTCACATGGTACAAGGCTGTTGTGAATAGCCTTGTACCATGTGACCTCTTTGATCATTCACAGATTTCACATGTAGTAAGCAATGATGTCAGAAGTGACATCTTGCTTACTACTCTGCATGTAATCACTGATTGGCCAATCAGTGATCACATGATCCGGACCTCAAACAGAGGTCCCATCTGATGATTGGTGTTTCACTGTGCTGCGCGCTCCCAGGGAGGGTTTATAAACAGCCACCTGACCCTGCACTGCCACCGTCGGCCGTTTATATACAACAGCTGGACGGGAAGTGGTTAATTGAACAAGCCGAAGTTAGAAGCTGATTGGCTGCCATGCACAGCTGCACCAGATTTTGCACTCTCCAGTTTTAGTAAATCAACCCCACAGTTTTTTGGCCCCATAGACTTTTAATTTGAAGCACCTAAAAAATGCTCATAAACAAGCGTTGTTTCAAGCATTTTTTAGGCATGCCCGTTAAAGTCTACAAGGCCAAAAACAAGTGATTCTGCTCCAAAGAAGCTTATGTACTTTTTCGGGCTTTACTTGACATGCGATGAGCAGCCTAATGAGTATAATGGGATTCTTTTTTGAGCATTGTCACTAAGGTTTTTGCTCAGATATTTGGTAATGAATTATTTCACAGTACCTGCAGCTAGAGAGCTCAGGGGTGGTTTGTTTTAAATCTATTTTAATGCTCATTAAGAAAATGTGAATACACTATAATGCCAAACGTATTGGGCCAGCCCTCCAAATCATTGGATTCAGGTGCTCCAATCACCTCCATGGCCACAGGTGTATATAAGCACCTAGGCATGCAGACTGCTTCTACAAACATTTGTGAAAGAATGGGTCGCTCTCAGGAGCTCAGTGACTCCAAGCGTGGTACCGTGATAGGTTGCCACCTGTGCAATAAGTCCATCCGTGACATTTCCTGGCTACTAAATATTCCACTGTCAACTGTTAGTAGTAATATAACAAAGTGGAAGCAACTGGGAACAACAGCAACTCAGCCACCCAGTGGTAGGCCACGTAGAATGACAGAGCGGGGTCAGCACATGCTGAAGCGCACAGTGCACTGAAGTCGCCAACTGTCTGCAGAGTCAATAGCTAAAAAAGCTCCATACTTCATGTGGCCTTCAGATTAGCACAACAACAGTGCATAGAGAGCTTCATGGAATGGGTTTTCATGGCTGAGCAGCTGCATCCAAGCCTTAAATCACCATGTGCAATACAAAGCTTCGGATGCAGTGTGGTGTAAAGCACGCCGCCACTGGACTCTAGAGTAGTGGAGACATGTTCTCGAGAGTGACGAATTACGCTTCTCTGTCTGGCAATCTGATGGATGTGTCTGGGTTTGGCAGGTGCCAGGAGAACGGTACTTGCCTGACTGCATTGTGCCAAGTGTAAAGTTTGGTATTATGGTGTGGTGCTATTTTTCAGGGGTTGGGCTTGGCCCCCTAGTTCCAGTGATGGGAACTCTTAAGCTGTCAGCATACCAATACATTTTCAACAATTTCATGCTCTCAACTTTGTGGGAACAGTTTGGGGATGGCCCCTTCCTGTTCCAACATGACTGCGCACCAGTACACACAACAAGGTCCATAAAGACATGGATGAGCGAGTTTGGGGTGGAGGAACTTGACTGGCCTGCACAGAGTCCTGACCTCAACCTGAACACCTTTGGGATGAATTAGAGCGGAGACTGCGAGCCAGGCCATCTCGTCCGACATCAGTGCCTGGCCTTACTAATGGGCTTCTGGAAGAATGGTCAAACCTTCCCATAGACACCCTCCTAAACCTTGTGGACGGCCTTCCCAGAAGAGTCGAAGCTGTTATAGCTGCAAAGGACGGGGCCAACTCAATATTGAACCCTACGGACTAAGACTGGGATGCCATTAAAATGTGTGTAAAGGCAGGCCAGGGTGGCAATACAGAGTACCTTGTTATCCATAGTCAGGAAACTGGTGCACTTCAAAATAAATCTTACCAATTTGTCCTAAGAGGACATCCTGATGGCCAGAAACAATAAATTAAAGCTCTAATCATGGCTGCAGAACTATAGGTAGTAGTCCTTATAAAGATGGCCTTTCTTGGCTATTTCTTATGTTTTGTTTCTTTCAGTAGTCCATGATAATGTTATCAGTGTTCTCAGGTTAATCAGTTTTGGGTAAGCCCCATATACACATTGAGAATATAGGACAAATGAGCGTCCATTTTCTTTTCTTGCATGCTTGTCTTATATAAAAAGTGAAGATGTTAACTAAAGTTCCAAAAATTCTTGTATAGCAGAATAAAAATTCGGAAGTGATGTAATGTATTGTAAAGTATTTGTATTGTATTTTCGGTCACAAATTGTACTGGTTGAACGAAAATCGTAAGATTTGGTATCGCATGACAAAAAATGTTGTGCTTTTCGCTTCGAGTAATTCAGACAATTGCTGTGTACTAATGATCAGATTATTGTACGATCACTTGGAAAGCAGAATTCTTCCTACGATTTTCTGATCTTGTGTATGAGGCTTTAGAGGACTTGAAAAGCTCTCCAGTGATTACATTATGCTGATTTTGCAGGAAGTTGGATCATCAGAATCTCTGTAAGTTCATTGGAGGATCAATAGAAGGAAACATCTTCATCATCACGGAATATTGTCCTAAGGGCAGCCTGATAGATGTCCTCTTAAATGATGACGTTCCTCTGAATTGGGGCTTCCGGTAAGCTTTCACTGGCTGCACAGAAAATTGGTGTTTTTCAATGTCTTTGTTTGTACATGGCTCAAAGCACAGCAGGTATCTAACATGGTCACATGACATAAATCAAATATTAGAAAATCTACAGTTTCTTCTATAAAAATAGTGACATTCCCCCTTTCCCCCTCATCCTCATGTGCAGATATTTGAATCTTAGATCCTGAGAAACAAAGCTCAGAATGCAATAGATCCTTGTGATAAAACAATATCCTACGTTCCAGTTATTTCCAGAGTTTCAGGTTCTCCACTACCATGGCTTAGTGGTGAGTCTTGGAAGTTTGCAAATTGAGAACTTTTGACCATAAATTTTGTAAGTTCCCTGCCCAAAATAATGAACAATAATGCCTTTGCCAAGCACAAAAGGCAATAATTTGGCTTTTGTGCATGGCAACAGCAGCCATGTTGTCAGTGTGTGTTGGAGCTGTCATGATGGCCATATATACGTAATGATTTGATAGAAAAATTTTGAAGTGGATGATTTGATCAGATCTGTGAATTATCGAAAGGACATGTACTGTGTCATAAATCAGTTTCCATCAAAACCAATCAATTTAATCCAAATTTTTCTGATTGGCCTGGACAGAAGATTCTCTCATAGGAGAGCAGACTATTTCATATAATTGTTGAGTGTACACCGTGTTCCAAATTATTATGCAAATGATATTTTTCTCATTTACCTAAATAATTGATGTAAATAACAGTCAGCATAAGTCTCATGTTATCAACTATTAAGAGTACAACTCAAATTTTATTGAACAAACCTCCTAATAACAGTATTTTTTTTAAACATAAAAAACTTACAATGCACTGTTCCAAATTATTACACACAGTAAGTTTCAAAACACTTTATAGGTTGTAAAGAACTGAAAATTGTCATTTGTTGTGTTTGCAGCATATTTACTTAAATCAAAAGCTATCTCAATCAAACTTTTAACAACATTTTAACTTTTTAAACATTTTTAACAGGTCACGTTACATTGTAACATAGGACCCTTTATTTGATAGCAGCTTTACAAGTCTTGCATCCATTGAACTTGTGAGTTTTTTGGACAGTTTCTGCTTGAATTTGTTTGCAAGATGTCAGAATAGCCTCCCAGAGCTGCTGTTTGGATGTAAACTGCCTCCCACCCTCATAGATCTTTTGCTTGAGGATGCTCCAAAGGTTCTCAATAGGATTGAGGTCAGGGGAGGATGGAGGCCACACTATGACTTTCTTTCCTTTTATCCCCATAACAGCCATTGATGCAGAGGTATTCTTTGCAGCATGAGATGGTGCATTGTCATGCATGAAGATGATTTTATTACGGAAAGCATAGTTCTTCCTTCTGTACCAGGGAAGAAAGTGGTCAGTCATAAACTTCACATACTTTGCAGAGGTCATCTTTACACCTTTGGGGCCCCTAAAGGGACTGACCAGCTCTGTTCCTATGATTCCGGTTCAAAACATGACTCAACCACCGCCTTGCTGACGTAGCAGCCTTGTTGGAACAGGGTGGCCGTCCACTCTATCCATCTGGACCATCCAGGTTTGCTGGGCACTCATCAGTGAACAGGACTGTTTGAAAATTAGTCTTCATGTATTTGTCTGCCCAATGCAGCCATTTCTGCTTGTGAGCATTGGTTAGTGGTGGCCAAATAGAAGGTTTATGCACAGTTGCAAGACTCTGGGGGACTCTACACCTTGATGTCCGTGGGACTCCAGAGGCACCAGCAGCTTCAAATATCTGTTTTCTGCTATGTAATGGTATTTTAGCAGCTGCTCTCTTGATCCGATGCATGGATCTGGGAGAAATCTTCCTCAATGTGCCTTTATCTGCACGAACCCATCTGTGCTCTGAATCAGCCACAAATCTCTTAATAGTGCGATGATCACGCTCACGTTTTCGTGAAATATCTAATGTTTTCATACCTTGTCCAAGGCATTGAACTATTTCACTCTTTTTGGCAGCAGAGAAATCCTTTTTCTTCCCCATATTGCTTGAAAATGGTGCTCTGCTTAATAATGTGGAACACCCTCCTTTAGTAGTTTTTCCTTAAATTGGGCTCACCTGTCAATCTAATTATCACAGGTGTCCGAGATTGTTTTCAGTGATCAAAAGAGCCCTGACACACAATGCCATCCATGAGTTCAACTGAAAAAAAAATATTTAATCTTTGTGGCACTTAAATAGAATTTGCATAATAATTTGGAACACGGTGTATGGCACAGTTTTCTGATTGTATCTCTGATCAGCCAGTAAATTTACCAATAATACGATTTTATAATAAATCATTAATCTTAATGATTTGAGTGATGGTCCACATTCACCAAGGCAGTGACTTGCTTACTGTGCTTTTTGTTTGATGATATTTTGCATATTAGCCCTAGAAAAGGCCAGAAGTGAAGTAACAAACAACAGAAGTAACAAGATCCGCCCCCAATTGACTTTGGTTGGGTCCACCGCACATTTTGCAAATTTTTTGCACTTTGAACCAACTTTGCAAACCTCTTTGTGAACTGAACCCAGGCAGATTCACACATCCCCTGTTTTACATATAAATGGTAACATTATAAATTTGGAGATGTTCCTCAAAGTCTTCAAATGGTAACTGTAACCATCGGATGCTAACTCAACACCATGTCCACTGGTGTGCACAATTTTATATTGCAGCACAGCAAATAAGGTGCCATCAATAAAGTAAAGAATACTTTCTGTCTTGTTACAGACTTTCGTTTGCCACAGACATTGCCCGAGGAATGATGTATCTACACCAACATAAAATCTATCATGGAAAGCTGACCTCCCGCGACTGTGTCATAGATGATCGCTGGGTTTGTAAGATCTCAGGTAGGGTTCTATCATGTGGGATATAGAGTTTAAAATAATTCCATGTATAGACATACTGACACATACTCACTGGTGCTCAACCTGTGGTCTTCCAGCTGTTGCGAAACTACAAGTCCCATCATGCCTCAACCTTTGTGGGTCATGCTTGTCACTATCAGCCTTGCATTGCCTCATGGGACTTGTAGTTGTGCAAAAGTTGGAGGGTCACAGGTTGAGCACTCATGCTCTAAGGCAGGGGTGTCAAACTGGCAGCCCTCCAGCTGTTGCGAAACTACAAGTCCCATCATTCCCCTGCCTTTGGGAGTCATGCTTGTAACTGTCAATCTTGCAATGCCTCATGGGACTTGTAGTTTGGCAACAGCTGGAGGGCTGCCAGTTTGACACCTGTGCTCCAAGGGAATACATATGAGGTGTGACAATTTAATTGGACTGTAAAAAAAAATGTTTGCTTACCTACACACTATTGGCTGTTGTCACCTTCACAGTAGTCCCCTTGTGAAGCAACACACTTTTCTAGACAACTCCGCCACTGCTGGAAACTTTCCTGGAATTAGTTTTTGGGAATGCAGTATCTTTGTCATTTCAATTCTGTGTCCTTATAAGGCATTTTTTTTAATT